TGTGGAACAACCACCAGGTTTTGTCATTCCTACTCAATCTTCTTGTGTCTACAAGCTTAAAAAGGCCCTCTATGGTCTTAAGCAAGCTCCCAGAGCCTGGTATGACACATTGTCCCTTTTCCTGGTGAACCATGGGTTTACTAAAGGAAAGGTTGACAAAACTCTATTTCAAATATCTGTTGCTAATCATATTCTGTTAGTACAAATATATGTTGATGACATTATATTTGGTAGTACTAATCCAGAACTGTGCAAGAAATTTTCTCAAGTGATGCAGAGTCAATTTGAAATGAGTATGATGGGAGAACTCAGTTATTTCCTAGGACTTCAAGTCAAACAATTTCCAGAAGGGATTATTATCAATCAAGGGAAGTACACCAGAGATTTGATCAAAAAGTTTGGAGTGGAAGGCAAATCATCAGTGAAGATTCCCATGAACACTTCACAAGGAATTGGTCCTGATGATGAAGGAAAGGATGTAGATGCAACAACATATAGAGGAATCATAGGATCTCTGTTGTATCTAACTGCAAGCAGACCAGACATCTCATTCTCTGTTGGAATCTGTGCCAGATACCAATCAAAGCCCAAGGAAAGCCATCTAAGTGCTGCAAAGAGAATCATCAGATACATCAAAGGAAATCCAAATGCAGGCCTATGGTATCCAAAGGGAGGTAACTTTGAACTAATTGGTTATTCTGACTCAGATTTTGCAGGTTGCAGACTAGACAGAAAGAGCACCTCTGGTCACTGCCAATTGCTAGGAGGAAGGCTTGTTTCCTGGTTTAGCAAGAAGCAGAACTCCATCTCAACAAGTACAGCTGAGGCTGAGTACATTGCAGCTGGGAGTTGCTGTGCTCAGCTACTCTGGATGAAGCAACAACTGAAGGACTATGGAATTCAAGCAAAGGAGATCAAGCTGTTGTGTGACAACACCAGTGCCATTGCTATCACTCAGAACCCAGTTCTTCATTCCAGGACAAAGCACATTGAGATCAGACATCACTTCATCAGAGATCATGTTGAGAAGAAGCACATCTGCATGGAACATGTGCCAACAGAAAACCAGCTTGCAGATATCCTGACAAAGCCTCTTCCTGAGGCTAGGTTCAACAAACTGAGAGAGGAATTGGGAATGATGGATGAGATTCCAAGGGAAAGTTGAAAAGGAAAGACCTCTGTTTCTCATTTGCTGTTGACAGAATACCTGCAGCAGAACCCCTTCTGTCAACCTCTTCTGATCCCTACCCTGGCAGAACACCTCAGCAACAGAAACCCCCCCTTCTACAGTAAAACCTCCTCTTATGACTATCAGAAGGTTGTGGACTTAGAAAATTTCTGTAAACCGGGTGACCTAGTAAATTATTAAAGGTCTTTTACCCTTTTACCCTTAAAACGGTATCAAGCCGTATAATATTTACTGCGCCCCCGTTTATTTACTGCGCCCCTTTTTACATTTATTAGTATCTTGGAACCATAAATTAATTCCAAGCGTCCACTAACCCAAACCCATAAATTGCCCTTTCGCAAACCTAAACCGCTACTGCTCTCATTACTTTCAAACTTTCAAACCTCCATAGCTCTCAAGCTTTCTGCAATTTTTCTCTAATCAAATGGCTTTCATCAACATTAACGACCTCACCAAGGAGGAAATCAACACTCTAGTTTCAAACATCTACACAGGGATGAACTGCGACCTCTCCGCACTCCCTGAACTCGCTTCAAACCACGAAGCGATGATGAAAATCATTAAGGGAATGGAGGACTCCCAACTGAACAAAGTGGTAGGGTATCACTTTGAGTCCTACAGTACAAGAGACGTAGCAGAGTTCTATCTCAACGCTACATACGAAGGGGAGACCATTCGGTCAAATGTCAATGGTGAAGACATTACCCTCACTCCTGCAGACCTCAACGCCCTCTTTGGCGTAGTAGAGGACCCTCAAGAAGAAGAAACTGAAGGTTTCCTAACTCTGGACAGTGTCAACGTCACTGTGGACAACTTTGTCCAACTCTACTGCCGACCTGAAGTGGGTAGAGTTCCAAAGCTGTACATGAAGAAAAACCTCCTTCTGAGCGACTATGAGAAGTTGGTAAACATCCTGCATAGGTGTGTCTGGAGCAAGAGCACCTCCACAGATGACATGAACGTACTGAATGCAAAGGCTGTCTTTGCAGTTCATCATGGGATGAACATCAACTGGGGACAGGTAATTGTCAAATCCCTTTTGAATTCATCAAGAAGAAAGACAAGGAGACCGGTCTGTTCAAAACCCCCATGGGTTATGGTCTCCTAATCTCTGAAACCTTGCTCAAGGCAAGGATAGGGCTGAGAAACCCTATTGAGGCAGATTACACCAAGTTGCTCTTCCTCAACACTTCAAGTGACAGGAAGGTTGCTCTCAAGGCAGAGCAGAAAAGACTCAGAACCCTTGAGTTCAACAGAGAAAGGCAACAACAGAAGGTTGTTCAGCCAAAGAAAGTCTCAAAGAAGCAACAGAAACCTCCTACCCCTTCTGATTCTGAAGAAGAAATGCCTTTGGTGAAGAAGGTGGTCAAGAAGGTTCCCAAGAAGAAGACCACACCTGTCAAAGTCCACAAGATGGTGGCAAAGAAATCTGTCCTAAAGAGAAAGGCACCTTCACCTATCTCTACAGAAAGCACCCCCTCTGCCTCCCCCATTGCAAAAAAGGCCAAAGTTTTGACACCTGCAGCACAGGAGAAGCTGGAGGACTCTGTCACCTCTGCCCCAGCCAACAGAAATGCTTGGCACGACAAGAGGATCATCTTTGAGTCAAGTGACTCAGAAGAAGAAGTAGTGGTGCAGAATGCCACTACTCAGGGGGAACCACATTCTTCTCCTCCTGCCTCTGCACATGATCAACCTCTGGTGGTTTCATCACCAGAACACCAAGAAGATAGCAGAATTTCAAGCCCTGCAGAACCCCTACTGAACAACTACCCCACCTGTGATAGGGAATTCATCAGTGTTCTGGCATGGAGAAAGTGGAGAGTGGGACCTCTCACTGAGCTACTGAAGAACATGTCCCACTTCATCTCTGAAGAAGAAGAAGTACTCAGATGGGCTGACACAGAAGATGTGGAGTCATGCCTGAACAAGGATTTTCTTCTTTCTGTCCTACAGAAGAAGAAGGAGAAGCTTCAAGGAAAAGCACCTCTGTTCAGAAACTCACCAGAAGACCATGTGAAGGATCTTCAAGAGAATGAGATGAATGACTTTGATGCTTGGTTAGTTGAGAAGAAGAGGAAGGAGTCAATGATCAAGTTTCGCCACAGTGCACATGGAGAAGGTGAACCCTCTACTGCAAATGATCTACCCCTGGTCATGGAAAGGCTTGTCAAAGAATGGAGAGATTCTCTGTTCACAGAAACTATACTAGAGGTAATTCCCTCAATCATTCCTTCTCCCCCTCCCTCTCCTAAAAGCACTTCTCCCCAACCCCAACAGAAATCCCCCTCACCCTCACAGAAAACCATTTCTGCACAGAAAACCCCTACACACCAGAAACCCTCCACCCCCAAATCTTCATCTCCTTCACCCTGCAAACCGTTCTCTCCTCCAAAGAACAGATCACCATCCCCTCAAGGACAAATTATCCAATACCAACACCAACAGATCATCTCTTCAACAACATCACCCCAACAGAAAACCTCTTCACCCAAAACCAAAAACTCTTCTCCCTGCAAATCCCAACCATCAATCAGATCCAGATCACCATCACCTCCACCCTCTCCTCCACAACAACAGAATGCTCCCTCACATCAACAGGAAAACCCCTCCAACAAGAAATCCAGAACTGCTTCTCCAAAGCCTGCACCACAAGATGCAGCCATTCCTCTTTCCCCTCAACACTCTGTGGCTTCTACCCCCATCAAGAAACCTATCTTCAAGGTTCACTCATCTTCTAGTGATAATGATGGGTTCCTCACCTCCTCCATAGCAGCTGACCTTACTTCCAAAAGGAGGAAGACCCCTCCCCAGAATGAAGAACAACCCAGAAGGTCTCCTATGCCTAAATCAAGAGGTCTAGGTATGCCTGGGTACACAGAATCCAAAGAAGCTAAGCCCCAAATCTCCTTCAATCAGTTTGTCACTGCAGTTGAGGACTTTGGTGGTAAAGTGCTTGATGGAATGGATCAACTGGCTGAGATCAACACTAAGCACCATGAACATATCACCTTTGTTCATAATCATCTTGAGGCTGGACTTCAGCATATCTCAGAGAAGGTTGAAGCACTGACTCAGACACTGGTCACCTTCATGGATTCATCATCTGCAAAACTTAATGCTGTTGCCAGAGAAGTTGATGGTGTCCACTCTGTTCTCTACTCGCAATCTCAGACTCTCAACAAGCAGAATGCAACGCGTGTGTATAAATATGTAACTCTATGTGTAAAAATATGTAACTTTACGTGTAAAAATATGTAACTCGCGTTCAGACAGGTCAAATACAACTCGTGTGTATAAATATGTAACTCGCGTGTATAAATATGTAACTTTACGTGTAAAAATATGTAACTTTACGTGTAAAAATATGTAACTCGTGTTCAGGCAGGCCAAATGCAACTCGTGTGTATAAATATGTATCTTTACGTGTACAAATATGTAACTTTACGTATAAAAATATGTAACTCACATGTATAAATATACAATAAAATAAATTTTATATATACACAATTTTAAGATAAATTGTGATTTACACAATTATTTTTCTGTATTAAATTTAGTTCGATTTTCCTTATGATCCAATACTCATTGGTTCAATAATTTCTTAAAATTACGTAAGCAATATTGGTCTCATTTGAAAGATCATGAAAAATAAAAAATGTTATAAATTTTATAAAATTCGGATCAAAAATAAAAAAGTTTTTACCATTTTTTAAAAACAAAAGGAAAAAAAAAATAAAGAAGTCCGTACTGACCTTATACCGGTTATCATCGTATTTTGGGAATTAAAAAATGACATTCCTTGAATTTTTCGGAATTTCCCAAAAAACAAAGGGAAACCCAAACAACAACTAACAGGCCCTAAAACGCCCGTTTACGCAGTAACCACTGCACCTTTCTTGCTAAGATATTACGGAGTATCATATTATTATAGTCCAGGGTTTCAAATTCCAATCTCATTATTCTCGTCCTGCTGGTTATTCACGACGAAGTTTAAGTTATTTCTGTAGCCAAGGTAGTCCTCTTTCTCCAATTCTTCTTCTTCGTTTTCCAGTGCTTGGTTTGTGTTAATTGCGTAATTTTAGGCCGAATTCTTGAATTTATATCCAAAAAACAGATTTTGTAAACAGAGAGAGGACCGGAATACCTCAAATTAATAAATGTTAATGATTTTAGCTGCGGCATTCTGCTAGCATTGCAACCTTAACAGTTTAACACTTTAACTACACCTATGGGATTATAGATGAAGAACTGCTATTGTGAATTAGAATTTTTCGTTTAGGACTGAAACTGTTCAGAGTACCACATTGAAAGATTTAATAAAAACATATAAGTTTATAATATATTGGACTAGATTAGCTAATCTGACTATCTGGGACTTCTTCTTATTTTATCTATTGTAATATTATCTCGATAATATTTCACTTATTCTAGCTATCAATCTGTTCTCTTGTCTTTTGGATGGTCTTGTCATCATATCTCTGATTCGTGGTTCTCGTTTGCCGTGTGATACCATTGTTTAAAGAATGGAACACTCAAATGATGAAAGTAGAAAAGAGAGTGTTACAGATTTGAAAGATCATTGCAGCATCGTCTTTCCTATACCATCACAAGACAGTGGATTGACAAAGAACCAACAACGTTTAGGAACAAGTTTTGCGTCTCCAACACCAGAGAAAACGACTGAGTCACTGTCCCGTACTGTTAAGCTCAAAAAGGATTTTTCTGAACTTCCCGAGAAGTATGGTGCTCAGCAATTACTCTTTATTTTGTGTGTTGTTTCATGAAATAAGCATGCTGAGATGCAGCAGTGTTTCTTTGAATCTACTCAGTTTCAGGTCCTTGTCTGAGTTTTTTGATCGCATGGTGTGTTCGATGAGATTGCTTAGTCTACGTAAAATGTCACCTACTTTTAAACACATTTCCAGTCAAGTGGAAGTCCTAACAGGAAGGTAGCTTCGTTGCTCACTTTTTCTTATACCCATACAAGAGTAGTAAAACACATTAGGCTTGTAATGATTTTTTTTTTTTTGGGGGGGGGGGGGGGGGGGGGGGAGGAGAAGCTGGCTTACATGTTGAGTTTTATTGACTATTTTACTTAAGAAGGTACATACTGATGCCCGTCAATATTTTCTTAAACAAACCTAATACTACCTCCATCCCGTTCAAAGGTTCCCATTGCAAAATGACACAGTTATTAAGAGTTAAGGAAATAATTAAATAAGGTAATTTGAGTATATTTTGAGAAATAATTTTGATAGGTATATAATATAATGAGGTTAATGGTGGTAACTGTGATGTTATAGATGTAATATTTTTAATATTTGATTATTAAATATTTAAATTGTCATTTAAGATTGTTAATTGTTTCCTAAAATAGAAATAAGAACCTTTATATGGGACGTCCAAAAAAGTAATGTGAGAACCTTTGTATGGGATAGAGGGAGTATCTTTTTTTGGTCGCTTGTTAATTATTATAGTGCTAATACAGTAAAACAAGTGCTGATACATACATCTTAGTAATTTATTTTTCTTTTAATACCAGAAAGTTTCTCTATGGGCACCTTGCAAAAATAATGTACATAGTTCCTGAAGTGGTTCATATTGATAAATCACTTGTGCATGACGGGAAGACATGTTGCATGAAGCCTGATATTAAAGTTACATTGCATCTTGATGCTTTGGAAGACCACCATGAACAGTCAACATTTATCCATGTCAGCAATGTTTTCCGAGCCAAGCTCATTGACTTATTTGCTAAACACCCGGAGGTAATTTTTCACATTATACCCTTTGCCTTTGAGAAGGGGAGCCTTGGCGCACCGGTTAAGGTGTTGCTGTGTGACTGAGAGGTCCAAGGTTCAAGTCTCGGCAGCGACCACTTGTCAAAATTTGACAAGGGAAGGCTTGCCCCTCATACACCCTTGTGGTGGGACCCTTCCCTGGACCCTTGCCTTGCGGGATGCCTTCGTGCTCCGGGCTGCCCTTTTTTATTATACCTTTTCCCTTTGTCAATGTCTTCCATAATGTGCTTTCTGCACCAAAAAGTTTTCCTACCAGGACCGGCTTTTTACGGAAGATGTCTATTTTTTACTTTATTCCTTTTATAGCTTAAAAGAGAGTGGCGCTCAGCAACCATTTTTTAGCTTTCATCTATTATCGTTCTTTTATAGCTGAAGCAGCCCTTATTTATACCTTATTTTGCTTTCATCTCTAATCAGGGCACTGACATTCCGGAAGCTATACTTCCGGACCCATTTAATGGAAGCACTCTCACTGTGCAACCTGATTCATTGCTAGTCACTACTATGTCATCGCCCCCGTTGGAAGAAATTGAACTATTGGAGTCATCATCCCATCTTGCACCATCTTTTAGTTCACACTTCTCTCTCAAGACTGTTGTTCCGGAAGAAAAGAAATCCAAACTTTTAACCACTTCTATTTCTTCATTTATTGATGATAATGCTGAGACGACTCTTAAAACTGAAAGTGAAATTTTAGCTTCTCTCAAAAGCTCCACAGTCAAGGACTCTGTCCAACAGCTTTCTGCTGGTAGCTCCAAAGTGTGTGAAGCTAGCACTCCGGTGAAGCTTTCCTCAGAGAGTGCAAGTGATAATTTATGTGTTGAAACACCCGCACAGTCTGCTCCAAGGAGATCAGCATCTGCTACTGAGGATAAGATCAAGAAAGTGATTATCCAAAGTGGTTTTGCGTCTTCCACTTTTACTGTAAAAAGATCACTTATGGATGATTTGGAGTGGTCTGAAACTGCTAAATCTTTCTTCCCTGAAAAAGAAGAAATCAAGGGTCGTACATTTCCCTGTGGCAATGTCACAGCAAGTGAAGAAGCATATCCATCCCGGGAGGTAACATTTATATATAATAAATTAGTAATTGTTTCCTTATATAATTTTTATGGAGAGCATTGGCTGCTATTGTGGATTGAGCCAGAGATTACGTAGCTTTCACTACTTCCCTATGAAAAAAACTGTCCTTTTACTCTTCACACATCGCGCATTCATGAGTTAAATATCAAATGTGTAAAATATCATTTACTTGGAACAGTGATTAATACATTTCATGAGTTTATTATTTAGTATTTCTGTTTATGCTTGTATGCATTTATTTTAATATGTATATATATGTTTTATACGCATTTATATTGTACTTGTGTATTATATATTTATATGATATAATTAACGTTAATATATAATAATTCCATGCTTCACCTACTCCCTCTGTCCCATTGTGTTTGGGGCAAAATAAAAGTGTTGGTTGACTAAGGAAAAGGGGATCATGCAGTTTACGTTGAATTTGTACAGCATGTATGATGGACTTTTCCCTAGTCACATAAATGTTGATATATATGGAGTATGGTCTGAGGCAAGCTTTGTGAGATGGAGGGAGTATATTATATCTACAGCTCTACACACTCCTCTACTTTCTTGGCATGCTGACAATTTGTTGTTTCTTTCAGCTTGAGGAAAGTAATTTGCTTTCTGGCAAGGATGTGGAATGCTTACCTCTGCCACAGCAAAGATATATTGATTTGCCCAAACTTGTGCGCTTAATTCACAACATTTTTAAGTCGGTTGGCCGTTGTTCAATGACTAAAGAAGAACTCTTTCACAAGATCATAATGGTTGACTGTGATATAGATGAAAGCAGTATGTCAAATAAGCTATTGATTCTTTTTCATAATTATTATTGTTATTATTATTATTATTGTTATTGTTGTTGTTGTGGTCATTATTATTATTATTATTTTTATTGATATTATTTTCAAAAGTTTTAGTGGTTATTATCATCTGTGATGTACTTACATCCTATTAAAATCCGTAAAATTGTTATTAATTTTAGGTGACATTGAAAGACAGATAGCTCTTCTTGAGAAACTTGTTCCAGATTGGATTTGCAAGAAGGATGAGCCCAGTGGAGGCCTTTTGTACAGGTTAAGATGTTTATCCTGGTCCCAATGCTGACATGTTGACTTTGGGTGTGTGTGTGTGGGTATTGTACATTGAGTTCACACTTTTATATAAGTCCATGGAATTTTAAAAAACCAAGGTGCATTCAAGATTTCAAGCTTTTACCAATTCATAAAAACTTAGTTGGATTCAATTGGGCTTTTAGAAATCATTAATGCATGTAGCAATGTGCCAATGAGCTCAATCAAACCCTTCATTCAAACAGACCCTAAGAGTTTGATTCAAGCCGTTGTGGACCCCATGATGTCTGCACTATCCAACACATATTGGTGGTATTTGCTGAATGTGTGTGTCAATTTCATGCAGTGTCAAGAGTGTCTCGGACTTGGATTCTGTTTGTGGAAGGCTGAGCAGCTCATGACAACACTTCGTCTCAAGGTTGTCACTAACAAAACAACGCACACATGCTGCATGTGCTAAAAATTAAATGCATTGTTTAATTGAACTCTTCCCTATATATATATATATATATATATATATATATATATATATATATATATAGGGAAAGTTCAATTAAAAAGAGGTGCTCTTGTGTAAAGTGCGAATGATTGCACTTTTCCCACACGGTGTTGCACTTTTGCATGCTTCTTTTGCACTTTTTCGCGGTGTCAAAAAACTTCGGTTTATTTACAAAATTGTCACCGCGTTTTTGATCAATTTTAGTGCATTTTGGGCTCATTTTGAGACATTAGATGTGGAAATGAATGCACAAGGTTCATTCTCACTTTGCATGGGAAGATCTCTTTGTATTTGAACTATCCCCTATATATATATATATATATATATATATATATATATATATATATATATATATATATATATATATATATATAAATTTGTGGTCAGGACAAATGACCGTTAGATCACGTCAAAGATTCAAACCTTTTCTCTTTAGTATGAAGTACATATTTCCACAATTATATACAGAGTATCATTTTACCAAAGATAGTTATGATCGTTTGTGAAGTTGAATCGTTGCGATAATCTTAACGGTTGAAATGATAAAGGGACTTCTCAATGCTCAGTTAAATCAGAATCCTTGAAATTAGAAGTCTACACAGGCTAGTTCTGGTTTGGGCCAGCTGCTTCCTGTTCACGGATTGTAACCTGTAATTAGGGATGGATTCGGGCCGGGCCGCCGGTTCAAGAAAAGTTGGCCCGAGACCGGCCCGCGGGTTGGACGGGTCCGGTTCGGGCCGGGCCACCCGCCCGGGTCACGGGTCGGGTCCGGTTCGGGCCGGGCCGGTTAATTTTTTTTTTATAATTTATATTTTATAGTTTATAGTTTTATACGAGTAATAAAAACAAACTTCATTTGCATTTATTTGAAATGAAATAGGAACTACATTTGAAAATTAAAACAAACTTTAAGAGAAACATTTTGAAAATTGTAATCAATCGGAACTTCCTGCACCTCCCGATCCTTTGGCTTTGTCACATGACTTCATATGCTTGATTGCCATCCCGAATCCGCCTGAAGCTCCCATGATACATTTTTTTTCTCACCATTTGCAAATTGCGTACCACATCCCGGTCTTCGGGTCCTTCTGCTTATCAAAATTATACCGTATAGTGGCATTTTGATTTTCCATCTTTACTTCTTGAAGAAGAGAATATGAGAGTAGATATATAATATATTGGAGAATAAGAGAATTAGAGAGTAGAGAGTTAAGAATAGGATTTAGGAAGAATTGGAGAAGAGATATGAAAAAATGTTTAAGATTAGGAGTATTTATAGGTTTTTTTACCCCCCACCCCCCCACCACCCCCCCACCACCCAACCCCCCCGGACCCCCGCTTTACCCCACCCAACGGCTATATAGCCGTTTGGGTTGTCCCCAGCCCCACCCCCAACGGCTAGTAGGAGCCCAAACCATTTTTTTTTTACAAATTGAATCGGACCCGGGCCCGGGCCCGACCTGGCCGGGCCGGGTCACAATAATGCTGAACCGAGCCCGCCCCGCCCCTTCCCACCGGTTCGGGCCCATACCCGGTCCCGGACCGCCCGACCGGGCCGGTCCCGGGCCCGCACAGTACCGGGCCGGGCCGGGTCACGGGCCGGGTGGCCCGAACCGAATCCATCCCTACCTGTAATATTGGTCTGAACTTTGATCGACTCCGGTCCTGGTCTGGGTCCCGGTCCGGTCTTGGTCGGTGCAAGGGGAAGCCCGAGACTGACTTGGTTGAATCTGGGTCTGGGCCCTTTCCGGATACTCGAACGGTCCTGCCTCGGTTTTGGTCCAGGGCCGGACCCGGTCTGGTTATATTTTATTTTTCGTTTTCAAGGTAAAAAAATTGGTCTGGCCTGGATTGGAATTGGACCCGGAACCGCCTGGTCCGATCCCCAAAATTCAAATCTGGGCCTGGCGGTTACCCGATTGGGTACTCGGTCTTGAACTTGGATCAGAAAAACGGACCCGGTCCGGTCCCAAATAATTCTAGACCTAGTTTTGGATTGGGCTAGACTGCTGGACCGGGTCTACCCCTAGGTAGAATTGACGGTTCCGGATTTGGATCATGTTCAGTTTCTGCTTAATATGTAGTTTGCTTTCTGAAAACTAGAATCTGGAATGACTTGTCACTTATTGTTTTGGAGGAAATGGAATTAGACTCGAAATAATCTTGTTTACACAAATGCTATTGCCACCCCAATTTGTACCCCATTTTGTACTCCCTCCCTATATTTGTGGTTCACAAAAGCACTTCATTAAAATGGAGCAATTCATTTAATGTGTTGGGCTTTTGTGAATCACAAATATAGGAAAGGGGTACAAATGATGTACCAAATGGGGTACCTCTAGGCTCTAGCAAAGCTCTCTTGTTTATTATGGCACTGCCGTGCTGGTGGCCAGATTGGGTCAAACGGTTCGAATTGTCATGTGAGAGTGTGAGACCCGGCCAGTTGGCCCAGTTCTAATAGGGATTGAATATGTGTAATTTTGCATGTTGTAGTGTGAGAGAGGTTTTGTGAAAATCCTTCCAATAATTACAAATAAAACTTTAAAATCTTCATTTTCTAATAATCAATGGCTAATATTGACAGGTTGCACTTTTGTAATTATTTGAGAATAATTGTAAGAAAACCCCTTTTCAATTTAGGATAATTAAAAAATACACCTTATGATTATTAACTAATAATAATTGAAAAAAATGAAACACTTAGATCAAAAGTAGGTTCAAGTAGTTCTGAGAAGTTGAACCCTCCCCTATATACAACAAACAATTCAGCCGTTATGATGACTATAATCAGTTCTTAGGCTAGGCGGTGTGCAAGGCATTATACCTTATATTTTACAGTGATACTGATACAGTGATACTATGCTTATGTCAATAACATAGGCCATAGCCAAATACCTAATATTTATGAATGATACGATTTATTGCTTCCTTCACTTCCAGAATACTTGCTTTCCTGCCTTTTGAATTCTCTTTTACCTGAACAGAATTAATAATTATCAATATTCCAATTGATTCAAGCAAAATATTCTGTTAACATATGTTTTTTTGTGGCAAATATTTTCCTGGAAAAATAAGATCTATGTACTTCAACATCATATGTCATTTTTTCACAAATGTCTAAAGAGTTTTAGGAAAATATTTTGATGTCAAATAGAGTGAAGTCTTTTAATACAAAATTTGTTTTTGAGTTTCAGTAAAATGTTTCCATGTAACCAAATAGAACCTAAATTGAATAGTAATTACCACGTATCTGTTTATTTGTACATTGTACCTTAGCCCTCAATTCACCAAAAAAGATTTTATTATTAAGAGAAGATTGGACTGTTGTGATCTCAAGGCCAAACTCTCCAAGCATTTGCATCACATCCAATAGTAAACCCTCCCGGTAGGTGCACCTGAGCTCCACCAACGCATCACTCTCTATAATCGAAACCTCTACTTGAACAACCGTCACCACCGTCTCCTCCTCATCATCACCATTCCCTCCCAACTTGGAACACATAATAGTCTTGCTGACCCTAGTTTTCCGGGTGTATGGGGTTAACAGTTGGTTAACCCCCAATCGGACCCCGAGGGTTGTTGACTCCAACTCTTGCACTCTCTCCCGTAACTGCTTGACATATTCGATGGTGTCTCCGAGGATTGATGCTTTGTCCATTTTCGTGACGAAAGGCACGAGAGATCGAAGGATGATGAAGCGCTCATTGAGCTTCTCCCTGCGACGTCGTTCTGCGAGAACGTGGTTTCCATTCGGCTCTTCTTGGTCCGCTGTGGGTTTCCAGACCTTGGATGGCGAGGTAGTTGCCATGAAGTTCTTCACATGGAGAAAAGGGACAGTGAGAAGGGTGTATTTGAGGATCCACTGGGATGAGCTAGCTTTTGTGTTTGGGTGACCAGAATGGGTGTACCACTTTGAGAAGGCGGAACTGGCAGAAAGGACAATATAGTCATGAGTTGTGGTAGTTGGCTGCTCGGACCATTTGTGCCCAAGAATGGTTGATATTGTTTCCAAGTAGATCGTGTCCTCTTGCGGGAAGTCATCAATCTGAGGGGCTCCTGTGCAAATACATTGGAGCATTGGTGGGGAGTTATTCTATACAAAATCATCAAAATTTTGTTCAAATTTACTAATTCCTAACTTTGCATTCGGTAGACAAGTAAAATAGATGTAGGAGTAATAAGATAAAATAAAGTTTAACTTCGCACTTTCAAGATGGGTTTTCTATATTGCAAGCTATAAGAGGAAATAAGTGATATATAAAGGCTAACGACACTTTATGAACGAGACACCGAAGTAGTCTTTTAGCTCAAATAATCTTCTCAAGAACAAATATTTTTATGTCCACTTTCTAGAATCATAGAGTAACAAAACAAACACAATGTTGCTTTGTTGAAAGTTAAACTGATGAATATTTGGACATAGAGAAATAGAAACCCATCCAACTGAAAACATCTTAATACATGAGTATAAGGTAAACGTGCATGTACCTTGAAGAGGTAAGAAACAAGTGCGTTTAATGCGAGGGTAAACATGTGAATCCAAATCAGTGGATGCATCATCGGGTGTTCCAAGCCTAATACTTTCAGACATGTCAAGTTGTACCATCTGCTCACTAGCCATGTTTGTTTCACCCCTAATTACAATTGCTGCCGCTGGAGTGATTTGATTTACAACTACACCATTAGTGGTTACCGTGTTGTTGCTGTTATTGTTACTGTTGTTGGTTTTAATGTTGTCCACTTCTACATCCACCATGTATTGATCGGGTTGGTTTGTAGGCCCATCAATATCTCCATTTGACTCTGAATATGCTGCTTCATCATCTTCTTCATCTTCTCCCAATTCATCATCATTGTCTTCTTCGTCAGCATCATTGTCTTCATCTTCATTACCTTCTTCTTGTACGTGAGCTTGATGGTGGTGGTAAGGTGGTATAGCGGGAGAGAAGAATTGAGACGGCTCCGATGAGGAGTGCTCAGATAAAGCTGGCTTTGAATGATGATTGCGCTCCATAAAGTGGTTCTTGATATGTTGGATGAATGCATAGTTTTCTTTAACCTAAATTTAAATGATTAAGAAAAGTTGCATTGTCTTATTAGGTTGTTGCAACAAATAAGAGTACTCTATTTCAACTCAAAGTCTCTAAACACTCGAATGCCCACTTGAGTTCTATCAATACCTTTATAAATATATTTATGGTACCAGATGGAGTTCTAACCAATCCTTTTTTTTCTTCATTCGGGACACCATGAAATATCACATATGAAGTTGAATGAGAGGAATCGTGGGGAAATGAGGTTATTATCACATTAAGTTTAACAAGTTATCACATTAAGGCTATGTTTGCATTTGCCTATTAAAATCACTTTTCAGCTTTTAGTTAAAAAAAGCTAATAAAAGTGTATGTAAAGACCAAATTCTACATAATTTTAAGTGCTTTTTGGTCAAAAGCGGAAGCAGCAAGTTAGGTGCTTTTAAATGCTTTTTGATTAGTCCGTATTTTGTAAATAGCTCATTTTTTGAGGATAATTTTATGGGAAAGTTCTCGAAATAGGACTAAAATAGTTTGAAAATTCCAAAATAGGACTGCTATGTTTTTTATTCCTAAAATATGACTAATTACTGTCATGTTTTGGCAGTAACAGACTTTAAACATGACAGCATTTTCTAAACATGGCAGTAATTAGTCCTATTTTGAGAATAAAAACATGACAATCCTATTTTGGAATTTTCAATCTGTTTTAGTTATATTTCGGGTAATATTCTCTAATTTTATCCCTATTCTTTTTATCTATAGACTGATTTGTCCTTCTCTTTGTCCCTACGTTCTCCATCGCTCAAGTGAAAGTGCGAAACATCTGACCAGGCCTAAAGAGATTCATTAATGGAAGCTGGCCATTTGTGTTACGAAATAGAGCAATTATTTGGAATATAATTTAGCATAGGGGTGTATGGATCTTGTTGGGATATTGATCCAGTGGCCCAATACCCGGATCAAGAAGGCCCAAGATACCCGGCCCAAGCAACGGGCCCATCACTCTATGATGAGTAGATCCAGTGAAGAATTCAAACCGAACGAGATTCGGGCTATATATCATACTTGGGCCAATTTGACAGCGTCTTCAGCATAGTCCAACATCCCGTTCAAGCAACGGACAACCGGCAAGTGGCCAGGTGCAATTAATGCCAGATTGTGACATCAGCAAGTGGAAACATGGGTGACCAAGTCGGTGGAACAACAGCCAATCAGCATAGGGCAGCCCATGCTCTCCATTAGTATAAATAGAAGGTTTAAAATCATTGTAAGAGTTAGCATTTCAATACTCAGGCTCTAGAATAGCATTATTGCTCTTATTTCTTGTATTAAAGCATTTTTCCGACCTACCGATCGGGAATTTCCTTGTAATCAGACTGGTTAATTAATACAAGTGAGCTTTCGAGTATTAGTGAGTTCATATTTTATATTTTGGTTATACACTTTGATTCTGTACCATTCCTGATATATCCAAAGTTCGTGTTGGGATTTCGGATCTACGGGATTTACCCTCAACATTGGCGCCGTCTGTGGGAAACTGTTCAAAACGTTTCACATTCAAATCATCCTAAAAACCACTATTTTCGAAAATGGTCAGAATCAGTTCCTATCACACAAACGACGGTTCATGCCGTCACAGAAGGAGTCACACCCCGGGGAATCAAACCCCTCAGGGACAGTCCAACCGAGGATCGTATCCTCGTTTTGATGGGGATTTTGTGATTCCTGAATCTCTAAGAAGAAATCCTCAGGCCATGCGAGATATGGCCCAGGTCATGCAGCATATGGCAAACGAGGAGGAAGGAGGGTCCAACTTTACAGGGGAGACTCCACGCACGGAAACAACCACATCGTCATCCCGTTCGCATGCCCATCGGGATAATCGCCGTAGCGCCCCACCAACAGCGCATCATAGTCCCAGTGACCGAACCTCGATCGGATCACAAGCCAGGGAACCAACTCCTATTGGTCATCATTTCCAGTATGCCGAACGGGAAAATACCAGGGCCACTCAACGGCATTGGGACCGGGACTATACAGACATGAGGGCTCCACCACCGCCCCCTTTGACGGCCTAGGAGGAAGAAATGGCTGAGATGAGGAGGCAGATGAACGAGATGCGAGATCAGATGAACAGGGCGCCTGTACAACCTGCCCCAGTTCAGCTGGGAATTACTTCCCCTTTCACCAGGGAACTCATGTATGCGGACATCCAAGGAGGTGCCAAACCACCGACCGGTCAAATCTATGACGGGGTGGGAGATCCCCATGTGCATTTGAGGAGTTACCAAGGGGGACTCATGCTACTAGGAGCACCCGAGGCTGCTATTTGCCGGCTGTTTTTTAGTACACTCAGAGGACCCGCCAGGGAGTGGTTCGGGACACTCCAACCCGGGTCAATCAACAGTTTCGCCGAATTATCGACGTTATTCTTGGCCCAATTCGCTTCCAGTGCCAATCCGAAACGGCACTTCAGCTACCGGACCAGCGTGAAGCAAAACGCCAAAGAGACCCTCAATCAATTCTTAAAAGGATGGAGGGATGAAACTTTGACAATGGGAAACATGACGGATGACACTGCCATTACCCTATTCACGAGTGCTCTCCGAACGGGAGAGTTATACAAGGATTTGAAGAAAAATCTGGGTACAGCATATGCTGAGATATTAGATAGAGCTCGCAAGCATGCTGCCCTAGAAGAGGAGATAATGATCAGGGATAAGGTCGCTGCGCCTGCTGCCCCGATCAGAATGGCCGATCGGCTGGGTCCTAGCCCAGTGGCCGCTAGACCTCCTAAGCAAGGGAGATTTACCCCCTGGTCCTGTCAGTAGCGACCATTTATCAGCACGAGAGGGACAATATTCCCCTCCCGACTGATTCTTCACAATTTATGGGAGCAGACGACTTTGCTTTTTGTAAATATCACAACAGGAAGGGTCATGCCACCAACGCCTGTAGGGCCCTACAAACGACCATTGAGGATTTGATCCGACGGGGTCATCTGGGAAAATATGTGAATAAGGATCCAAATGCTGTGGGCACGTTGAAACCGATCAGGAAACCTAATAGCTGGCGACGGGATGCCCAACGTGATGCCCAGCCTCAAAATGACGTATATATTCCCCCCAGGGATGAACCAGAGGGCTCGGGAGGCCCTGGAAAGAAACCTTGAATGGAGGTCAAGGTTATATTTGGGGGCGGGGAGACAGGGGATTCGAACGCGGAACGGAAAAGGTTCGAGCAAAGTCTCTATGTGGGATCCATCTCCACTCCCCCCAGAAGAAAGGAAGGACGGACCCGATCACGTTCGGGCCAGCTGATTTACCCAACTCTCCAAGCCCGCACAGGGATGAACTGGTGGTGAGCATGTGAATTGACAATGCTTTGATCCGCCGAGTACTGATCGATACCGGGAGCAGTGTGAATGTATTGTATCTACAATCATTCGAGAAAATGGGTCTACAAAGAAGTCAACTGACCCACCTAAGGACCCCACTGGCAAGTTTCACCGGTAATTGCATTGAGGCGAGGGGACCATCCAATTGATGGTTGAAATTGGGGACGAAACGCACAAAGCATCACTCCGAATGACGTTCGTGGTGGTGGATATAAAATGTGCCCACAATGCCATATTGGGCCGACCGGGATTGGAAGATCTGGAGGCAATAGCCTCTGTCCGCCACTCATGCATCAAATTCCCTACTGACACCGGGGTTGGGGTGGCCAGAACTGATATGATGACAGCCCGAACATGTTACCGAGAGGCCCTAAAACAGATGAACACTCGTGGAATGCGGGTTAACACAATTGAGGTGGAGACCCACCGAACGGAGTTCGAGGCACACCCAGAACCCGCCACTCTCCTTGAGCAAATCAACCTGGATTTCCCCCGAACCGTAAGGTAGCTATCGGGGTAGATCTGGAGGCTGACATCCGGGATGGCGTGACTGCCGTCCTAAAAATGTTTCAGGTGTTGTTCGCCCGGGGGCCAGAAGATATGCCAGGTATTGACCCGGAGATAATATGTCACAAACTTGCCGTTCCGCCTGATGCAAAACCAGTCCAGCAAAAGAAACGATATCAAGCAACCGAACGGCGGGAATTCACAAAACGGGAGGTGGCCACCTTGCTGAAAATAAAACACATCCGTCCAGTAATCCACGTAGAATGGCTATCGAATGTGGTCCTAGCCCCAAAACAATCTACTTGGAGAATGTGCGTGGATTACTGATGCACACTAATTAGTAGTGCATAATTACATGTTTTTATGTTTGATTTATGTTAATCGTTTGACGTTTTATTTAGTTTGTAAACATTTATGTGATTTCAGTTGTAATTGTATTTTAGTCTTTATTTGTAAGTTGAAAAGTTTAGTTAGGATTTGTGGTGTTGGAAAGGAAGACTTTGAAGTGAAGAAAAAGAAGATTTGGCTGCCCAGGAGCAAATACCCGACCGGGTATAACACTTGACCCGGTCGGGTAAGAAGTGAAAAACGAAAATGCAAAGAAAGTGCATGGCCCGGTCGGGCCCACTACCTCACCCGGTCGGGTGAGAAGTGACTGGGGACAACCCGGTGTGCAAAGATCACCCGAACGTGAAGAATATCCAATTTTTGCACTCACCCGGTCGGGTCCCCTACCTCACCCGGTCGGGTCTGACTTGATCCGGACACTTTAACATGCCGAAGATCACCAGAACGTGGGGAAATATCTGATTTTGACCGGACCCAGTCGGGTGAGTACTTGACCCGGTCGGGTACCCGGCCAAAGGTGTTGAAAACACCTATAAATAGCACACTTTTTCTTCACAAAAGATGATCCCTTCTTCCATTCTCTTTAGCTCAGTTTAGAATAGCATTTCTTTATATTTTTCTAGCTATGTTTAGCCTCCAAATGAGGAGCTAAACTTCCATTCTTGGTGTTGCTCTTGAAGCTTGTTGATTATTAAAGTTGTGAGTTATTTTCTTAAACTTCTTTCCTTGAATATTAATTAATAGTTCTTTCCTTAATACCATCTCTATATT